AACCACAAAATCAGAAGTTGGAGTTCAAGGAAATTGGCGTAATAACCCCGAACGTTCCATTGAAGAATAGACATCGGCGAGAAGATAAAGGACAACAAGAGAGAACAAGGAAGAAACAAAGGTGAAAGAGGAACATAGCACGTTAAAGAAGATCAGGGTCAGCAAAGTCAGGGTTAGGGGGCATGGGTAAACTGAACAAAGACGAAGGGAAGGAAGCGGGAGAACAGACCACAGGTGGATGGGCGGAGTCCGGAGGAGGAGACAACCGAGAGGAGCAGTCAAGGACAGCAGCAGGAAGAGGAGGAGTAGAAACAGGGGAGCGCACCTCAGCAGGGGCAGCAACCGAGAGGGAAGCGGGGGCCAAAGAAACCTCCATAGCAATAACAGGGGGCACAACCACCGAAATTGAAGGGGAAGGAGCGAGAGAGTCAGAAGTAGGGGTCGAGGAAGAAAGCGAAGCCTTCTTACCCGCCGGGGAGGAAGGAGAGGAGCCAGGCTTACGCTTCTGACTCAAAGAGACAAGTGTCCCAGCAACTATGTACTGGGCAACGGATTCCAGCGTCTCAACAGAAGCTGAACGAGAGCATACACGACGGCCATTGGGAGAGCGATGGACATCAGCCCGTACTGACAGGCGGCGGGGAGAGCCAATAGACGGATGGGAAGGAGGATCGGAGGGAGACAAGGAAGAAGACACAGGAGACATGACAGACCGGGCAGAAAGGGGAACCCCAGACAGAGGACCAGGAGGGGGATCCTTCAGGACAGAACTCAAAGGAACAGAGGAGGGGATGGTGGGTGTATCAGGGTCTAAGGCCTGGAAACGGTTGTGAGTCTGAGGAAGGTGGGAAGGACGAGGAGAGGAAGAGCGCAACACGTGAGCATAAGAGATGTTAGCATAAGGCGGGAGCCGGCGAACCTGGCAACTCGCCTCAAGAAAAGATAAACGCCCCTGGTGCTTCAAGTTGAGGATGGCTGCCTCAAGCTTGTAATGTATACACGCACGGGAGAAGGTAGGGTGGGCCTCACTGCAATTGAGGCAGCGAGCCTGGGGAGAAGTGCACTCTGACTTAGTGACCTTCGCCCCCCACAGAGACAGTTCCAGAGCAGCGGAGGGCACCATGCCCAAACCTCCAGCACTTATTACAGATCCAAGGGGAGGGAATGTACTCCTGGACGGAGCACCTGGCACCAGCAAGAATGACAGAGGGCCGAAGGATCCTACCATTAAAGGTAATCTTCACAACCCGAAGGGGCTGACGGCAACGACCACGAGCGGGACGAGTAAACGTGTCTACCTGGAGGACAGAATTGCCCTGGGCCTCAAGGATATGCTGAATATCATCGTGGCAGTCCTGCAGATTCCGAACACCGGTTGCAACATAGGGCGGGAGGAGAATAGTGCCAACACTGGCATTCAACCTTAGCATTCTTGGAGACCCAAACAGGGGTCTCGCCAAGGCAGGATAAGGCAGCCAAGCCTCCCCCAAACAGGGGTCTCGCCAAGGCAGGATAAGGCAGCCAAGCCTCCCCCAAACAGGGGTCTCGCCAAGGCAGGATAAGGCAGCCAAGCGGGAGGTTGCATCCTGAGAAGGAGATAAGCAACAACGGGAGGTGTATCCTGAGAAGGAGAGACAACACGTGTACCGGGTGGGGTTGAAGGTGACAGAGGCATCTACGGAATCAACAAGGTGCCTATGAAGGGAGAAATTGTCAGGAGGCGCAGAATCAAGGAGGAGGAGATCAAAGTATTTGGCCCACGAAGCGGGACCAAACAAGACTTGATACGCATCAACATAGGAAGGAATCGAGTGAGTGGCCGTGTCGAGGACGGCGTTGAGAACCCCCAGAGAGAGAGGGGTTAAAAGGCGCAGTAGTCACAACGAGAGACTGAGCCGTGCCAGGGGATGAGGTAGTCACCACTGGGGGCTTGGGGCTCGACCCAACCACAGAGCAGGGAGGGGAGCCGAGGGTAGTAGTCAGAAAGGCCAAAGGAGGAGCAAGGTGCCCAATGCAGCGGAGGCTACAGAGCCCGGTCTTCCAACACAGACCAACTCAGGGGCTTGGTCGCCTACCCCACGAGCCTGAGAAGGTAAGAGAAGTACAGAATTCGACATGAGTACGAAAGAAAAACATTCATTCACGAATGTGCCCCCACACCCACCATGGAGCCACAATTAGAGGCAGGACACCCAACAAGAAGCTATCGCCGATCATGCTGGGGCCTCCTAGGGGTGCGTCGTGAGTATACACCCCACAAACGCCACCTTAAGAACCGTCAGTCCGTCGAGATCGGGTTCAGTGACGAAAGGGGGATTGACAATAAAAGGTTCCCCTCACTCTCGACGTTGGGTACTACAGTTCTACGAGTGCAAGAGTATGCCTCCTCAAGCACCCGGGTGTCAAAATAGAAGAAGTCCAAAAGAATAACCAAAACAAGCAAAAGGTCGGCAGGAAACGACAAGCAAATAGAAGAAGAAGGGGGAGAAAAACGAAACAGAAGGAAAAGGAAAAGTCGTTCAGCACAATTAGAGAGGACATCAGCAGAAGCACAAGGCTACAAAAGGACAGAGAACTGTCCCAAGGATCATCACACTCCGGCAGCCGCCCACCAAGCCCCCCTCACGGCAACAACGAGCTGAACAGGGAGGGGGGAGTAAAGTGTGTGGACAAAGACAGGGACACACACTCGAACACTATATCTTGGATTGTATTAAAATTGAGCCATTTAGAGATAAATCTAAGATAACTGTATGATATGACAACCTATCTTATTACCAAGGATAAAATACCTGAAATCCTTGCACTGTATCCATATTTCGCTTCCAGTAGATAAACGACATATGAGATTCAGAAACAAGTAGTGTATTGTGAAGACTAATAATAAACAGAAGCTCCCCTATGACTATAATATCTCCACTGGTCAAACTATTATGTATTAGTGATAAGACCTACCATTAATGTATAATGACTCACTGTAAATATATAGCTCTTGAAATAGCATTTTCTCTGTCATTAGCTGACATTGTAACTATAAGGTGTGAAGAATAGATGAAATTGTTTATGTAATAATCTAAGATGAAGTTTGATAAAGACCTTTTGTGCCCTCTGTAATGCTTCTTGCGCTACCGCTCATAAGATGAGTATGGGGTGCACAATAAACTAGCCGCCTCTGGCGGCAACAATCAAAATCAGACTACAATTAAAAAACATGATTCTTGATAGCGGAGGTGATCATTCACACCTAAACTACACTTGTTCCCCACCATGGGAGGAGCCTACCTTCAAAATAGTAATAGGTCTTCCAATGAAAAAGGCTCTCTGATCCAACAGGCCTAAAGCGCATCATATAAAAGCAAATGAGCAGCATTGCAGTAGCAGGAGCCACCCACATCTTCACAGACGGATCGATTGACACAGAATATGAGAGTACTGATGCTGTTCTTTGCATGGACAGCGAACAACCATATTGGAGACTGGGAGGACCAGTATCATCAACTCAAACTGAGCTGTTTGCCACAGAACACTTTCACACATGTGATTGCACAAAACACTCAAAATGCAGTAATACACACAGACTCAAAAGCTGCACTTAATATATTAGGAAAAAAACAGTGGAAAGACAACGTGGTAATAATTACCACCATTTTGTATCTTGGAGCAGTAGCTAGAGGCAAAAAGACTCAACATCACCGTTAACTGGATCCCATCCCATGTTGGAATCCTATTAAATGAGAAAGCCGGTGAAATTGCTAAATTGGCAACTCATCATCCAGTGAAGCATAAAACAATCCAATCCAGCCTTGAGTATATAAAAAGCACCATCGCCAAAAAAACTCTCACACCTCAACAAAGCTCATCTACACCAGAGAGTAGCAGAAAGTTCGCCATCTGCAATATGGTATCTTCAGGCCACCAAGTTAGAAAGGTTAAATATCCCAAAAGGAATCCACAGGGAAATAGTTCGGTTATACAGACTTATGTCTAGGTTACAGATGCAACTGGGAGATTGGTGAACCCCGACAGAGAGAATGCATCTTCTGCCAAACAATCACAGAAAAATCACTACTTCACTATCTCCTGGAATGTGAAGTAACCTATGACAGAAGAGCTTTAAGAGTCTGTGAAACTTGCATTAACCACCCTGAAGCCATCAACACTGCCACTCTTCTGGTCAAAAAGTGTTCAGCAGCTAGTCACCCTCATAAATATTGTCAAGCAGTACCCTCCCCCGCAATAGCAGCCTGACGATTTAAATGAGACCTCAGCACACAGTACAGCATACAAAATATGAAAAAATCTACCACTATAGGCTATTCATACCTGTGCCGCCTCTTGGGTGGCTTAATCTTCATCAATCAATCAACCTATCCCCCAAGTTACAGCCCCGCTCCTGTGCCAGGCAAGTTCTGGCATAGAACCATAGCCCATGCTACTTGCAACTTTTTGTTCCGAGTAGCTGTAAACAACATCCTCCTCTCCTCTCTATTGCACAACTTAATAATGGTCCAGGAGGGACCATTATCAAGTCCCTCCTGGTCCGAAACGTCTCCATCTTTTGTGTACTCTCCTAATTGTGCTTGCGGCTCTTTGGTCCCGCCTCTCAACCGTAGGGGTTTGGTGTGTGGTTTGGTCATCATGTCTTCACACATCAGAAAATGGAGATACAGTACGACGATGTTTCGGTCCGGCCTGGACCACTATCAAGTCGTGTGATGATCATCACACGACACACTCTTATTGATATATATTGACACGTTTTGCTAAGAACAATTTTGCATTCACTTTCCTTCAGCCTACGAGGATGCAGAGTTCATGTGGATGTCTCCTGTCCCAAAAGAGGGGTCGGGTGACCTGTCAAGATGGACAGGTTGTTTCGGGTGATGGCAGGAGCATTATCTAGTTATCATTTCTTCCTAATTCTTAAGAGTAAAAGTTTTTGAATCTACAGTTCATTAATGATGGCAATAATCACTGTTTAAAAATGTGTTTTCCAACAGATGATGATGGTTGTGGCAGTGGCAACGGTGGCTTCGGACGCCGCCATGTGGCCCAGCTGGAGGCAGCAGCCCACTAACACACGTACACCACTTGGTACGTTTAGTGGATTTTTTTTTTTTTTTTTTTTTTTTAATATATGTACAAGAGTTGTTACATTCTTGTACAGCCACTAGTACGTGTAGCGTTTCAGGCAGGTCCCTGGAATACGATCCCCACCGCGAAGAATCGTTGTTACAACCAAGTACAGTGGCACCTCGACATACGATTGCCCCCATTTACGATAATTTTGAGTTACGATATAAATTTCATCGAAAAATGCGACTTGACATCCGATGGTGTCGTCGATATCCAATATTTGTTGGTACACGTTCGGGTCGGCCAAGCGTGTGGTTCCCGGTCACGCGGTTCGACCTGCCTTAGTTTACTACAGCTACCCGCTTAGTGATGATCGCGCCTATAAAAAATTCCGCTTTTGTGGTGATTTTTTGCATTTTGAACATTAAAGTAATTATTATATAATACGCCATGAGTCCCAGGAGTCAGTGGTAAGGCTCAACATATGAAATCCCATGTAAGAATGACCATAGAGCAGAAACAAGAGATCATTCGTAAATATGAAGATGGTGTGCAGGTAGGTGAACTTGCTAGGCAGTACAACAAATCTCAGTCACCGATATCCACCATACTAGCTAAGAAAAAGGACATTATGGGTGCTAAAGTGATGCATCATTACAGACAAATGTTAAAACGAATGGAAAAACAAATGTCTCTTGACAAATTTGTAGTGAGACAAACAAGCACTGAACCACAACCAGTTCCTAGTAGTATTCAGGCAAAACGTAGGAGAGAGAGTACCCCAGAGAAAACATTACTGCCTGATGTGATAATGGAAGGGGACTCCCCTTCCAAACAGTAACAACTCTCCTCCTCCCCCATCACCATCTTCCATACGCCATCAAGAGCCCTCCATAAAGGTAAGAGTATAACTTTGGTACTGTATTGTAGTTAGAAAAAAACATTGTATTCAGTATAAAATGTATTTTTATGTTAATATTTTGGAGGGTGGGGAACGGATTAATTCAAATCCCTTTATTTCTTATGGGAAAATTCGCTTCGACTTCCGATCCGTCTCTGGGAACGGATTAGCATCGGAAGTCGAGGCCCCATTGTACACATTTTACTGTTGCGTTAAACAGAAGCTACAGTTAAGGATTTGCACCCAGTAAATCCTCCCCAGCCAGGATACGAACCCATGACAAAGCGCTCGTGAAATGCCAGGCGAGTGTCTTACCACTACACCACGGAGACTGCAATTGCAATTATATTTCATGTGGAGCTAGTTGACTATGGACCCTTAATACATCCATCCTGAGGTGTTGGTAAAATAATAAAAAAAAGTATTGGAATCTATTACTGAATACCTATGTTTCTTGACTCTGCTATTTGCACTGGTGCACTAGTTAAGTTTGATCCAAGTTTGTCTAAAGTATGTCTATTATGCAGGACATAGCCAACCCGCAGGCAGTGGTGGAAGGCCTACAATAACAATGGGCACAGGAATTGAACCACATTGTGCTCGTATAGCTAAGCAAGTTACTGATGATACAAACTTTGTTTAGGTGCATCAGCAGGTACTGTAGTACAGTAAGATCATAATTTTACAACAGCTGTCAGACTAGGACCCTTATTCCACTACAGTATCTAATGTCACTTTCCTCTTAGGACGGCACCTTCCATAGTAACCCCACCTGTGGTAGGGTTACTATGTGCTCTTATATCCTACGAGCTATACAGTAGCTTGCTAGGCTACCCATCTCTCTACAGAATGACAGATGGTGTTGCATTTTCTAGTGAAAACCCTCGTGGTCATGTTGGGCCAAAACTTTATTATCTCTGATTTAACTCTTCCTGCAGGTAGATGAGCCAAGACTGCAACCATAATCCAAGTACAGTATATAATTAGAGAACGCTGGTATAATACAATACACTTGTGTAATAAATAGAGCATAGAGTATAATAATACATTTCGGTGTTGAGTGTTATAATTTAATGATAAAGTATAGAAGCTAGACTCTGGGAGGCAGAAGTAAACATAGATACTAGGGAAGAGTGAACACTTGATATTCAGTATGAGTAAACTTCGTGTACTCACCTAGTACATTTTCTTTTCACACATGTCGTCAGGAATGCGGTGGTGGAGACGAGCACCACAGCAACACCAACAAGAGCCTCGCCAGAGTGCCAGGCAGATGGCAGAGAGGCGACAGCCCCAGTCTCAGAGTCAAGGCACCCTCAACATGGTCCGTGCTGCCACACTTCTTGGTCTCCCTGATGACCCCGAGGTCAGTGCTTGTTGCTCTCAACTTCCCTCCTTACATGTCATAACCCTTCTACCTTAATACACCATACCCTTCGGGTAAGGGAACACCATGCCCTTCCCTTACTGGCAGAGGAACCAGTCATCTTATTGGAAAAAAGAACAGTCAAACTTACTGGAATAGAAGTGAACCCCACTCTACTGGCAGATGATTCACTCCTCCCCTACTTGGAGAGTAGTCACCTCTATTACAATATAACATGGTGGGCCACGACACTGATGACAACACAAGGCCCACCACAGCCCTATTATACATGAGCACTCAACCTCATTGGGTATAATAATTGCAAAAGGACCTTCACTCACACTGGATACCCCATTGGTAGTTATCAACATGCAATAGTTTCTTACTTTTACTTTTTAATTCTAATCAGTAAAAAAAAAACATTAAATATACTATACAAATATTATGTTTTTATAGCTAGTAATTGACCCATATCTGTAAAAGTGTGAGTTTGTCCAAGGTTAGAGGGCAAATGCTTGGAGCTACCCATGTGCAAGTTTTCAAGTTGAGACATGGGTGGTATGGGAGTGCCATAGGCCTGCCAGGAGTTTGCCTCAGTTCTCCCCTTTTAAGAGATATGGGGTACAATTTTCATTGTCTGAAAAGAGGAATTTGTTTTCAGGAGAATTTGTTAGCAGTTTTTCAGCTATTTGCAATATAAAATTTTCAGTGAGTAGAAGAGGGGGTAGGGAGTGAGGGAGGGGGCGGAGAGACTAGGCACAGCCGGGTACCCCATCTAGTGAAAAATATATATTGCTTATGAAATAATGTGACATTACATGTGTAGACCTGATAAGAGGGAGTGTTACAATACATGTACAGTATTTCTAATGCATGTATAACAAACCTTACTCAAAAGTATTTAATGAAAACCCAATTATATTTCGTCCAATTTTTCTTGTTGTTGTTGACGTACATGACTGAAATAAAAGATCTTGCACATACGTGTTATATTTAAGAAAAAGAGGTGCTTTGGCCTCTCATAAGTTAGTTTACTTCATAATGAAGTTTTTAATGAAATGTTTATTGTACAGTTTCCCCGTCGCTTGTGCCAAACAACAGACGTGTGCCCATACTCGTGGCAGTGGATGGAGGGAAACATACTGCGAGCTATTGTCAAGTGGTCCCTCCTCAAATAGGTACACTTTTTTGTAAGTACTGTAAAAACATAAACAATACTGTGCCTAGAAAAGAAATCGAGTGTCGAGCAAAGTAAAATGCTACTTTCTGATATGGACCAATGGATATTCCCATAACTCCTAGGTGATCTACCAAGGACTTTCATCACTAATAGACTTTTGTGAGTTTATCCCCATCATGACAAATAACTTTCTAAATGGTCTTGTCATCTGTGGTAGGAAGACAGTTGCAAATCTGTCAGAAATGAGACAACTAGCTCACTACATTATAAAGGAACAAATCACAACTCTGAGACATTCCCTGCAAGTAAGATTTACTGTAGTACACAGTAATCACACTAATGTGACTGCATCAATGAGAAAATCCATAGGAGCCGCGATGAGGATTCGAACTTATGTGATTCGTGTGAAAATTCTGTTTCGGCTTCATAAGAACATTATGAAAGTAACTACATAAGGCCTAATGGCCCATACGAGGCAGCTCCTATTTATTAATGATAGAAGAAACTCCTATTGGCCTATACGAGGCAGCTAATTCATGTACATGTCTTACCTACGCTTGAAACAATCGAGGGATCCTACTTCTATTGTGTTACATGATAATTGGTTCCACAAATCAACAACCCTGTTACCGAGCCAATATTTACCTATGTCTTTCCTAAATCTAAACTTATCCAATTTATACCCATTGTTTTGTGTTGATACGTTTAATACCCCATTAATATCCCCTTTATTATGCCCATTCATGCACTTGTACACCTCTATCATGTCACCCCTAATTCTCTGCCTTTCTAGAGAATGTAATATAAGCTTCGTCAATCTTTCTTCACATGACAAGGTTTTAATTTGTAGAATTAACTTTGTCATCCTATGCTGGATGTGTTCTAGTGAATTTATATCCATGCTATAGTATAGCGACCAAAACTGAATTGCATAATCTAAATGGGGCCCTAAAAAGAGCAAGATACAGTATAACTGAAGAACAACACCAGGTGTCTTATTACTAACGCTTCAGTAAATAAATTCCAATGTCCTATTTGCCTTATTTACAAACATTTATGCATTTATTTTTTGGTTTTAGATTCTTGCTAATCATAACTCCAAGATCCTTTCCGCAATCTCACCACCACTTAGCTCGTATCTTTTAACTCTTATCATCATTACCTAGCCTCAAAACCTTACATTTGCCAGCATTAAACTGCATCTACTGATCTGTTGACCATTTCAAAACCATATCTAGTTCGTCTTGAAGTGATAGTCTGTGTCCGTGTTTATTACCCTTCTGATTTTTGTATCATTGGCAAATTTGCAAATATTGCTGCTCAAACCTGAAGCTAAATCATTTGTTTATATTATTAATATTAGAGGTCTCAGGACAGAAGCTTGAGGCACTCCACTTACAACATTTTCCCACTCTGACTTAACTCCACTTATACTAACTCTGTTTCCTTTGGTATAGCACTGCCCTAATCCAACTTAATATAACACCCCAATACCGTGAGCCTCTATCTTTTTAGTCAATCTTTCATGTGGCACTGTATCAAAAGCTTTGCTAAAGTCAAGGTACACAACATCACAAACCTTACCACCTCAGGAAATCATTGTGTTCAATAGAACCCCAGGTTGCAATCCTTTTAACATGTCGTGGTCTAGTCGCTAGAGCATGTGAACACCCACCACATAGGTTTGAACTCTCATCACGGCTCCTACGGATTTTCTCACTGATGCAGTCACGTTAGTGTGATTACACTCTGTGCATTGAAAGAGGAGCATCAGAGGTACTATCTTCCTGGATGGCAGAGCCAGAGTGCATGGGGGAGATTGTGTGAAAATCCTGTTCCAGCTTCAGTAGAAGCCTCAGAAATCCTTGTGTATTCAGTATAACTCCAGGTTGTAATCTTTTTACCATGTCGCGGTCTAGTCGCTAGAGCATGTGCATGGGAAAACCCACCGCATAGGTTCGAACCCTCATCACGGCTCTTAGGGATTTTCTCATTTACTGTAGTAGTATCAAGTATGGCAATTATTGCTCTGCAAACTACTGTTAGTAAATCAAGGCTACACACACTATCACCAGGTGGACCACCACCTTCACCAGAAAAAGATCAGGGAGACTGGCAACATCAACTTTTAAGTCTACATCTCCACAGCATATGCTCAGGAATGACAGGACAGATAGGGTGGGAAAGAAGCTTATCACTATACTATAGTATCCTATTTCTGAGTTATGACCCCTCAGATGCTACCTTAGCTAATTTCCCACAACCAAAAGGAAGCAGCCGTTCATGCCTACAGTAGCCAACAATAGGCACCAAAAAAGAACTGGAAAGAATCTAGCAAGAAAAGCTAGGGATCTGAACATGGAGTAAATGGGCCAACACAACATGACATTCAAAATGGAATGTCATCGAGCACAAGGGTCTCATCAATCAGTAAAAGCATGAGAACTTGAAAGAAAACAGCTGGTTCAGGAAATGTACTTGCTTTATGAGGCATGCTACTGAAGGCGGATGATTCACAACTCCTATGTATACACGGGATGAAACAAGCTCCAAGAGCACTGGAATCAAGCATAAATAGAGTATTGTTCGGTACTTGGGTGTACCCCATGAGACATTCAGGGTGAGTGAGGAATGAGTATAGTCAGGTCAACACACTTGAGTCCCCATGGTCAGTCATGAAAATAAGTAATACTTTATTTAGATCTCATATATAACTTGCATATAAAGTATATATATTTTAGACATGTGGGGGCACCATTTGTCTACAATATAAAATAATATAATACCCTCCCTACAATATATGGTTCACCCAGGACTCCTATCATTGCCAGGTTCTCGGTAAGTTTCCTTCCCGAGTTATACAAGCAGATAAGGGCAGGGAAGGAAACTCGTAACTATCTGGCAAATGCAAACAAAACATTAAACTACATCAAGCACATGGAGAGGCAGGTCCTAATATCGACTCAAAAGCCAGTGCATACACTCACAAAAGGCATTGAGTAACCAACCACCATACGTTAGGGCTGAGGACTGGCTAAACAAAAAGAAAACAAAAGCTACACTGCATCATCAACCAGAGGAAGAAAGGAGGAACCTAAAACGGTACCCCTAGTACAGTATATATATTTTTCAGATTTTGTTAACAAATTTTTGTTACTAGGGAATCTTAGTAACAAAGTCTAGGCTCAAGACAAGGAAGTGGTATAACTTGAGAGGAACCAAAAGTGCCCAAAAACAATACTAAACAGCTTCAGAAAATGTTTCTTGGGGGCTATCAGCCTGCATTGAACAGTATGAATTTAGAAAAATAATGCAGACAATAAGTCACAATAATGTGGCTACAAATTAGACACACAACCCACAAATCTAGAACTTAAAAATAATTAACAGCATTTTGGTCCATCCTGAAACATTATCAAGTCACAATTACAACTTGATAATGGTCCATGCAGACCAATATGTCATCAATTATTTTATTCTCAGATTTGTGATTTGGGTGTTTAACTGAAACAACTGCAATGAATAGCAGTTGTGAGTGCAACACAAAGTAGTGTGTTATGCCGTAAAACACACACGTTCCCGAGAGCCTGGCAATGATAGGAGTCCTGAGTGAACCATATACTGTAGATGTTAACTATGAGAGTATCTAAGGGAACTTGGCCTGTCAAATATATTTAACTAATGGAAACAAAAATGTTGTAGAATTAAACTCTGAACTTAACGACTGTAATTCATTAATATTATACAGTTTATATACATTTCTACTGTAAATGTATTTTTAATCGTGTGTTTTAGGATATATGTAGTATGTCATTAGACTATAAATTGCAATAGGTAGTGTTTTTGTATAACAAAATATCAGGAAATATAAAATTAAAGTTAAATATAATTGAGGTAAATGTTGGAATCAAATGCATATCTTTTTAGTTTTGTACATTTTGAGAAATGTTTGTTATTGTTACAGTATAATAAGCCATGAATTGAATAACCTATACCTCGCATATATTCTGGGTTTGTTTACATATACTGGATGCATATGTTTAACCTTTAACCCTTAGACTGCAAAAAATACAAAACACACTTCAAACTAACAATTGAAATTGAAGTCTTTCAATATACAGTGGCACCTCAACTTACAAATCCCCCTACTTTTTTTTTTATTTACGACCCCAATTTCGTTGGAAAATTTGACTCGACTTACAATCTTTGCTTCAACTTGTGACTTTGTTGATACATGTATGGATCGACGGAGCACGTGGTTCCTGGTGGCATGGGTGACCCCACTTCAGTTTACCAGACCGCTCGCTTGGTAATGATCGCACTTGAATTCTTTGTAAAGAATTTCATCGTTTTTCAGCTTTTTTGCTTTCTAAACATAAAATTATTATATACCATGCCATGGGTTCCTCAACAATTAAGAAGTGGTGTGCAGTATGGGAAGAAATGCAAAGTTTTGTTGAAAAGACTCGTCCAAATCAAGCTTCAGTAGGCCGTTGCTTCAACCTTTTAAGTGACACTGTGATGCCTCACTACCTTGAGGTTACCTTGAGGTGCTTCCGGGGCTTAGCGTCCCTGCGGCCCGGTCGTCGATCAGGCCTCCTAACTACACTACAGACAGACAAACGTAGGGAAAAACAAGTCTCTATGGAAAGGTTCTTAGTGAAAAAAACAAGCAGTGAGTCACAACCAGGTCCTAGTAGTATGGAGGCAAAACATAGGAGGGAGAGTACCCCCAGAGAAGTCTTCACTGCTTGATGTTATAATGGAAGGGGACACTCCCCTTCCAAACACTAACACCTCTCCTCCTCTCCATCTTCCATATGCCAGCAAGTCATCAATAAAGGTGAGCTATAACTTGTACATACTATAGTACAAAAAATATGAGTATTATGTATGAAATGTATTTTGAAGTTAATATTTTTGGGAGTGTGAAATGGATTAATTCAATTTACATTATTTCTTATGGGAAAATTTGTGCAAAAGTAACTTCATATAGTCAACAAATTTGTTATAAAGTGTTTAATAACTTTAGTTATTTCTATTGTTATTGATATTGTTATATTGTTATTGAGATATTGTTAGCCTTATTTTGTTAATAAAGTACTGTAGTGCATTATATATTGACAGTAGATTAGGCATGGATGATGTACAGTTTTTTTTTATCTACATTAATAATTGAATCGCCAAGCTATTTCTACCCTGGTTAAATATTCTTTTAAGCAGAATGAATCTTCACATATGTACTCATGAATGACTGCAGTAAAATTACTGATACTGATATTTCCAGCATTGCAGAGTACTAATAGGAAAGGCTATAATGTGAAAGTAGTTGTAAGTAATATCTTTGTATCTTGTTTCCAAGTATTCACCTAGTTGTGTTTGCGGGGGTTGAGCTTTGCTCTTTCGGCCCCCCTCTCAACTGTTTCTACTACTACTATTTTTTTCTCTCCACACCACCCACACACACACACACACACACACACACACACACACACACACACACACACACACACACACACACACACACACACACACACACACACACACACACACACACACACACACACACACACCCACCCACCCACCCCAGGAAGCAGCCCGTGACAGTTGACTAACTCCCAGGTACCTATTTACTGCTAGGTAACAAGGGCATTCAGGGTGAAAGAAACTTTGCCCATTTGTTTCTGCCTGGTGCGGGAATCGAATCCATGCCACAGAATTACGAGTCCTGCCCACTATCCACCAGGCTACCAGGCCCCCCACAAGTGTACTCACATGCATGTAGTTGTGTGGGTTAAGTACAGTACAAATAATCAGCAAGTTTTAGGATTATAAAATAAGAAACTATATATATACTATACAGTTTTTAATATTGACCATAAACTGTAGAGAGATTAAAATGTTACCAAAGCCCATCAACTCAATTTTGATTAGCTGTAAGTCATTTGCAATATTAATGATGTACTGTATGTCAATTTATTTTCTAACAATGTTCTGCAATGCAAACTACTTTAGCACTGTTGGAAAGATTTCATACACCATTACTCTAATGAAAGCTTTTTTAAAATAAAGTCCCAAACACTTCACAGGATTCAGAAAATCTAATGCAGACAGTATTTGTTATACATATATAAACTCGTCCTACTAAATAGATTTAGATTTGTCTGCTTGGAATACAAGAGCTAAATGCTATGTAGAGAAAATATAAACACTGGAAATGTTTGCCTTGCAATACTAACCGAGGACCATGCCTGTCGCGTAGGTTTCTGCAGTGTGTGAATACATGTCTCGTCACCAGAATGGGCTACATTTGATCTATATACACTGCTCTACCTAGATAAAAGTAACAAATTTAAAAATTGCAAAACAACAAACCATACCATTACAGTCCTTTTTTGTAAGACAAGATCAAGTCATTCAAATGGGTCACATAAGAATTATTTCTTTACATATTATTTTACAATAGATTTTTACACTATGTACAATAGGAAATTTGTTTCACATGTAACAATAAATAGGATAACTGAATTTGAATTTTTGTTTACAGTATATATATGTATTATTTTTTATACCCCTTCCCAAACTGTATATATTCTCTGCATGTGTGAACAAGTCAAAATAACATGGATGAAACAACCAAAGCCATGCATAAAATGAAAGTAGTGATGATGTTTGAGACTGTTCTGGACCCTTATCAACTCAGTTCATACCTCGGTTGGGCTATACGGTAATGTGTTTGAAGAAAACATGCATGAAAGTGAATTGTGGTGAGGAGTTGGTCTCCGAGGAGTAATTAGCAAACGCCCAGCTAGTGGAAAGCTACAAGGGCTTTCTTTCAAATCTTATGATTAAATAAATTGTAGTTTGAAACAAAATTATATATACATGTGAAAAATGAGAGAGGCACCAAGTACTTTCAACCCTCTTAGCTCCTTTGATAAAGGCCCCCCAAGAGCACTTTACCTGTTATAATGTAATTTACATACTGTATTTTTTTTTTGTTGTTGATGCATGTGAGAGAAGAAAGCTGAATGTGGACTGATGTCGGAGGATTTACCAGAACTATGAAAGTAAAATAAATTGAGGATAAAAAGTGCTAGAGCAAAGAAAGGCCAGGTTAGGAAGACATGCTTCCGATCCTTTGTGTTGCTCTAGCTACATCTTCACATACCCAAGTCCTATCAAGGAACATACTATTTACACAACCACATAAACACCACCAAAATAATTAACAAGTTAACAAATCATGTCTGGACACTGGTGAGCCATTTTATGTCAAACAAACTATCAAATTACACTACCACTTCAAGACCACAATGAAACATACAATATACTGTCCCAGTCATCATTGAAACATTACAACTTACTAATGGGGCAATAAACCCATAGGAGATTGTTGAGGACCTTCACCTCATCCCTGGCAGCACAAACACTTTTAACCATATTATAATTATATAATATACCAGTGTATATATATACAAGTACTGTACACACACACCTTGTACTGCATATAAATCACTGCAGCACTGTGCATTATCATAACATATGGTTTACTGAACCATGGAATCTATTGTAATCACTGTATTCAAACATATATTTTCCTCAGAGTACTTTTCATCCATAACTATAAAGTTGAGTATTACTTACATACGTCTAAATGTATGATGCTGCAAAGCTCTAATGTCCAGGAATATTTCCGCCACATCCTCTTAGCAACAATATTGCTTATAATAAAAACTTTCATGACAACTGTAATGTATGATTTTATACAACACACGAATGTATTATCATTATGATAGTTAATATAATAATTACCCATTTTCATCATAATGTAATATTCCATGCTGCTTACTTTCTTGTACCAGGATTTCCATACAGTTTTAATTAACTTTATAGCATAATATAAAAAATAATGATTTACTTCTGCTTATATATGTTACTATCTGATGAGTAATAGAAAAAGTGACTTCATATACTAACCAGATCCTCTCGAGGAGGCCACACTACGAGATTACACTTGTGGTCGGAGGCCAGTTTCAGATCTGTGACTAGTCTAAACTTGCATGCCGGCGACCTGTGAGAGGAGTGACAAGTTATTAAGATTAAACTTAGCAACAAATTACATACTTATGTCATTGCCACCCTGCACACCAATGCACTGCAGCAACGGTATACAGCCCCGGTATTTCATGATAATCCACATTTCTGTCATTAGCCATACATAATTGCATTCATTTTACTCACTAATGCGTGTCCATTACCCAACATTATTTAACCATCGCATCACTTCAATATTTAAGTGGTGCCCTTATTCTACATAGGCCAAGTCTCCATTAAAATAATTTACACAACATTTGATTCAACATTTTCAAAGTTTATAAGAAAGCAATAAAAATAGGATGTGGGAGGAAATCCGTTGCTTTCGGAGCTGATTCCCCAATTTGGAGCCATTATGGTCCATCTATGGGCTTGTATTCCCATTCCCAAGGTCATTTTGTGACCTTGATGAACAAGTACCTATACAACTGGTAGTGACAGTAAAATGATGCAAAAGAAAACAGTGGAGAGTCTAATTCAAACCACCACAGAAGGACCAGTTCACTCGTGCAAAAGAACAAGTAATAACACCTTCCCCCCCCCCCTTTACACCAACCCATGAAAGTATTAGGCAGCAAAACACAATCTGGCATGTCGTATCTCCCCCATTAAAGTATTAACTAGCACCAGAGGCGGCAATACCCTACACAACAATAGGGGTCAAAAGAGCTTGCAACAATCTTAAACCCAGACCATCCAAGCCACATTAGCAACTGATGGACCCACTCAGAAAGGGGTGTTTTACAATGCTGAACATCCTATTTCTGAACCAAGGCCCTTCAGATGTTTAATGAGCAGCTCCTCATATTAAAGAGAGAAGACAATCATGTTTATATTTTTAGTTGTGATGCATACATGTGAGTGGTGATAGAGGAATTTAAGGTAAACATTATTTGTAAACTTTGGGAGACATCACGCATGAAAGTTAGGGGTAAAAGTATAGGAAGAGAAGATTAAATATATTACAGGATAGCGCCCGTCCATTCACAATATACAGTGGAACCTTGGTATTCGTACCTCCCAATTCGTAATTTTCACCATTTGGACATTGTGTTCATGTTCGGTATTCATCCGTTTGCTCGGCATTCACAGGTAAATACACATCGCTTTCGCCATAGTTGGTGGAACCTCAGTTGACGACTGCCCTAGAGCACAAATTTTTTGGTATACGACGTCAAATTCAGCGTAAAATTCGAATTAGTGTACAACGGTTTACTTGGAAGATGACATCTGTTCATACACATATGGGTCAAACGGGCGCATGGTACTGGGGGTGCGGGGCGAAGCACTCTCAGTTTGTTTCCAAGTCTATCATGCATAGTGATGACAGCGGCCGCGCTTGAATTCTTTGTGAAGAATTTAATTGTTTGTCTGCTTTTTTGCTTTATTAACATAAAAGTTCTTACTATGTCATGCCATGGATCCCAAGAAGGTCAGTGGTAAAGTTCAATCTACGAAAATAGTTGTGAGGATGACGATAGAAGAAAAACAAATCATTTGTAAACATGAAAATGGTATGAGGGTTGTTGATGTGGAGTAGAGGATGTCCCTTCCTCATTTATTAAGAAAATGTGTGCAGTATGGTAAGAATTGCAAAGTTTTGCTGAGAAGTGTCACCCAAATCAAACTGTAACAGGCCATTGTGTTAACCTTTCTAATGACAATGTGATGTCTCACTTCAGACAAGTGTTACAACGTAAGGAAAAACAAGTGTCGCTAGACAGGTTTTTAGTGAGAAAAACAAGCAGTAAGCTACAAGCAGGTCCTAGTGGTATGCAGACAAAACGTAGGAGAGAGAATAACCCAGAAAAGTCATCCCTGCCTGATGTTATAATGGAAGAGGACTCCCCTTCCAAACACTAACACCTCTCCTCCTTCCCTCCTCCTCACGCCAACAAGAGTCCTCATTCAAGGTAAGATATACCTACTGTATTGTAGCTAGTACAAAATGAGCGCTATTCAGTATAAAATGTATTTTTAAATTAATATTTTTGGGGGTGTGGAACGGATTAATTAAATTTACATTATTTTTTATTCGAAAATTCGTTTTGATTGACGACGTGTTTCTGGGAACGGATTACGATCATAAACAAAAGTACCAATGTAACTATAGCTTCTCCCCCGTATCAACCTACCCTGGCTTTGTGCCCTAGAGAGTCCACTCCAGACTGACAACCAGAGCACAACTCCATCGTCTCCTGAGACTGATGGATGCCTACTATGCCTACTACTAATAAAATAAATGTGTGCAAAGTTTTCTTGAAAAATATCGCTGTGATAAACCGAGTTATAAGCCTGCTGAATGACAATGCTATGTCTCGGTTCAGAAACATGTTAAAAGTGCAAGCAAAAGCAATTATCCATGAACAAGTTTCTTGTAAGAAGTGAGTCTAATGAGGGAAACAGAAATAGACAGAAAAGTGACAGAACCTCAGAAACACAACTACTAGACGTTATAATGGTAGGGGGACGCCCCTGCCAAAGAATAATATCTCTTTCTCACCACTTTCCACATAGGCCATCAACTCTTAGTGCAGGTAAATTGTGTAGAGTGTATTAGCATTTCCCTTAATTAGTGCATAAATATATTTATTTTCGTGGCCTAGAACAGATTAATCCTATTTACATTATTTCTTATGGAAAAAAATTATTCAGTATTCATACTTATCAGCATTCGTCCCGCCTTCAGAAACTTAAGTCTGAATACTGAGGTTCCACTGTATATGCTTTGCTAATAGTCAAGAGGGGCGAGTCTCAGTGGCCTCATGCACCTCCCAAAGGCTTTACATAACCAGCCCTTAGCTGGGGAAGCTTGTGGTGTTCTGGGTGGGCCCCATCACATCTTTCATTTTGCTCATTCATAAATGTCAAAATTCATAAATTATATAATAATCCCTAAAGTAAAGTGATAATGCAAATTTGATGATGTAAGTACATGAGAAAATCAGGAGGAACCCTGAGGAGGATTTAAACCCGCTCACTTGCTACTCCCCAAGCTGGCGTCCTAGACCCACTACACAGTCAAAAGCAATGCAACCTGGGAATCAGCTGAATCCCAGGTTGCATTGCTTTTGACTGTGTTGTGGTGTAGTGGTCTAGGGCACCAGCTTGGGAAGTAGCAAGTGAGCGGGTTCAAATCCTCCTCAGGGCACCTAATGATTTTTTCAATGATACATGATGTTAATATGAATTCATTGTGCATGTAAGTACATATCCAGAAACATACATCAATGAAGCACGATCCACAATACAAATTAAATTTTTGGATTTACTACAAGCATGTAGAATACAACACTGCTTAGAGGTCAGATGATGAAGACAGACAAAGACACAGCAAGAAAAGATAAAGAGAAATCTGAAATGAAAATAGAAAATTAAGTGGCATTATTTGATTTCATGAAAAATACAAGTGCTATTCATCAAGTTTAAAATGGCAGAAATATATCACAGGAGAACAAGCTTAACCAGTTTTCCTCAATGTGCCAAAGAATACATTAATAAACACACCTTTAAACAGTAATGGTCAGTCAGACGGCACTTTTTCTTGTACAGTTGCTGTGCGTGTGAGCCGGAGTGGCGGGGCGTGACGTCATGAGTGATACAGCTGACATATGCATCCACGCATGGTGTTCATGTATCTTTCCCATGTTATGCGTAGAGAATTGTTACTGTAAAACATTATGCAAATAAATGAAATAAAAACTCTTGTACATGTGTATATTACAAAAAGAGTTGTATGAAATTTCCATTTATGTGCTAAATTATCCACTCAAGCAAACTCCTTGAGACCTACAATCACTTACAACCTATGCATCCAGTGTAGGATGACAAAGTTAATCCCCCTAAATTAGAAACCTGTCACATGAAGAAAGATTGACAAGGCTTAAATTACATTATATTAAAATAGGATGACAAAGTTAATTCCCCAAATTAGAAATCCTTCATATGAAGAAAGATTAAGAAAGCTTAAATTGCATTCACTGGAAAGGCAAAGAGTTTGGGGTAACATGATAGACGTTTACAAGTGGATGAATGGACATAACAAGGTAGATATTAATAGGGTATTAAAAGTATCAACACAAGACAGAACACGAAACAATGGGTATAAATTGGATAAGTTTAGATTTAGGAAAGACTTGGGTAAATACTGGTTTGGTAACAGGGTTGTTGAGTTGTGGAACCAATTACCATGTAACATGGTGGAGGTGGGGTCACTCGATTGTTTCAAGCGTGGGTTGGACATGTATATGAGTGGGATAGGGTGGTTATAAATAGGAGCTGCCTCGTATGGGCCAATATGCCTTCTGCAGTTGGAAGTTCTTTGTTCTTATGTACATTCTCTAGAAAGGCAAAGAATTGGGGTGACATGATAGAGGTGTACATGTGGATGATTGGACATAAAGGGGATATTAATAAGGTATTAAAAGTACCAACACAAGACAGAACACAAAACAATGGGTATAAATAAGATAAGTTTAGAGTTAGGAAAGACCTGGGTAAATACTGGTTTGGTAACAGGGTTGTTGATTTGTGGAACCAATTACCACGTAACATAATAAATGTAGAATCCCTTGATTGTTTCAAGCATAGTTAGACATACATATGAATGAGATTGGGTGGTTATAAATAGGAGCTGCCTCGTATGGGCCAATAGGCCTTCTGCAGTTACCTATACTCTTATGTTCTTACAACTCAATATTACTAAGACAGTGCAGCTGTCTGCAATCCTCAAGCTCTCAAGCTCTTAAAACCCTCAACATCTCCACGCCCCCGAGACCCATCCATCCTCCACCGGAGACCAGGACCAGAACCTGGCTCACTTTACAAGGCAAGGGGAGCCTGGTAATCAAACACTGACCCCAAAAAATAAACTAGATAACATACACACAACAAAATAAGGAAATTAGGCACCCCAAAGTAAACCAGGCAAGTAAGTGTTACTGTGAGGTAAACACCCTAACTGTGGTGTGCCTGCCTGCCACCAGATGGCAGACCAAACCCCCTAGCATCACAGCCAACCCACTTTACTCAACTCTAGAACTGCCCCTGCCGAAACCCTTGATATTTGTTTTCTATGCCTTCAAACCTACTCCTCCATTTTTTGCTACAATTGTAATCACACCTGAAATGTTCTGTAAGTTATTGACACTTGGTTTGTATGGCTATAGGTGAATTATGCATATTGCCATGATGCAGCACTATTTGCATACTGCTTGCACTCGTCGAGTCAAGACCTCATTTGTCAACCTAGTGTATCTTGTTCTCTGTTCCAAGGCTAGGCTCTCCCAAGTCATCCAGGTGGTAGTTTGTTCCATCTAGCCACCTGTCTATTCTCACTCCCAAGATATGTGTTGCTTTAACACACTTTTTTTCTGGGTGGAGCCCCTTCGGCTCTCTGGAGCTATCCAGGCTATATGCTAATGTCAGACTTTGGCATCAGTCATGTGTATGGAGTTCTTTGGGCCTACCAGGGACCACGGCCAGAACCTGGCCCCCTCAGAGAGGCAAGGGGAGCAATGGCCTATAGAAGCCCCTGTGTGGTTGGAAGCGTTCTATGTCTGCCATCAACCGGGTCAGGCACCCAGAAAGGTAAGCATCCCAAAACAAACCCCTATTCTGGTGAAAATATTGCTACCAAAAGTCAAACAACTGGATAGAACTCCCCAAACAAAAATGAGCAAACTAGTATGACATCACCCGTTGCCGCACCGCCGTCTTCACAGCTTCCCAACCTCCCCGGGAGGGGGAAGGGGGAGCCCCAGACCTACCGTGCCGGCAATCCACACCCCAGTTTTTGAGGCTGATGCTATAGGCAGCAGTTGTGTGCTCTGGCTCCAGACTTTTACAGCGCTGTGCCTTGTGTGTAGCGCAGGGGGTGCAAGAGCCAGGTGTTACTCTTCAGTACTCGGGCAGCATGCACCTAGGGTGCCCTTCCCTAGGTGCCCTGCAAGTACTGCCCTTGAAGTTTGAGGGTTATCTTCCGCAGGTTCCTTGAGATCTGTCTCTGTGGGTCCGTTTAACTGCTCGGTTTTTCAGACGCCCTTTGGGTATTTTGTCTTCCTAGTTTACCTTAGGGTAGGAGGCAGCTTTGCACTGGTGAGGGGCACAGGGTGCTGTGCAGCTTGTTGTCACCAATCACAGCGACCGGCTTTGGGGTACGCTGTCCCCTTGGGGTACGCTGTCCTTTTGCAGGGTTTTATTTTTCTCATTGTTTTTGCCTGGGTAGGTGGTTCTGCCCTACTTGCCAATGGTGTTTCGCCTCATCCTGATACTTGGTGGTGCCACCTGCTAGGTCCCTGTTAGCGTACACGTCCCTGGGGTTCAGCTGTAGACAGTTTGTTTGGTAGTTTTGGGCACCGGTTAGCAGTACCCTGCCTGGGTTTACCTGAGCGCAACTCCTCTTATAGTAAACGCTCAGGACCCTGGGAATTCCCTAGGGGTCGCGTGGGTCCGATGGATGCGATCCTGGAGTCCCCCCTCGCTTCATGCGAGTTTGAGGGTTGTTCGGTCTCCTTGTCTCAGGGCGACCCTCACGGTTTCTACCTCCGTCACGCTGCCTGTTGGGTCGGTGACACTTTTGACCCCGAGTCCTGTGAGTTTTGCTGCTTGCTGGCGACTCAATTTACCAAATCTGCGGATAATCATCTTCGGGTACAGGCTGCGCAGGCGTTGCATTCTAGGTTTCGTTTGTTGCAACGCGCTCGGTTGGTTGCTCACTCGGATGCCCCGTGGCTGCCTGGTTTTGCTTATAGGGGACCTGGACATGGGGGGTGGGGATCACTTCGACTCTAGTTCAGTTCGCACCTCCTCGTCCTTCCCCTCCTGTTGTTCGTTCTGGTCCCCCCCTCCCTTGCTTCCGGCCCCGAAACGTCTGAGGGTTTCGGAGTCGGGGCAGGGGTTATTTGGTCTTGAGACTCGGGCAACCTCGGGGGATGCCCCTTCTGATGTGGCGAAGGAGGCATTCGAGTCTACTCCCCCGGCTGAAGCCTCTGGGTCTGACCAGTGGACCCCCTTCTGTCCAGCTTCTACGGCTGTGCCGGCCTTGTCTGGTGGGGTCGGTGCTTGGGGGAAGGACTCGGCCCCGGGTCCTGCAGAGGAGGATTTTGGGGCTGAGGATGGGCTCACTTTGATGCCTTGGGCCCCGCTGGACCCCGCCTGGATTTTTCTGCCTTCTGAGCGGGGCTAACTGTTACAAGGAGTGGGGTTTTCTTTTCCCCCCCACTGCGTACGAGTTGGACTTGGTGTCTGCTCCTCCCCTGGTTCGGTTCCGTCTTTCCGGAGGTTTTCGGCTTATCGCATCCAACCTGCTACGGTGTGGGCGGCCCTTGTAATTACCTAAGTGTAGTTACAGGATGAGAGCTACGCTCGTGGTGTCCCGTCTTCCCAGCACTCTTTGTCATATAACACTTTGAAACTACTAACGGTCTTGGCCTCCACCACCTTCTCATCTAACTTGTTCCAACCGTCTACCACTCTGTTTGCGAAAGTGAATTTTCTTATATTTCTTCGGCATCTGTGTTTAGCTAGTTTAAATCTATGACCTCTTGTTCTTAAAGTTCCAGGTCTCAGGAAATCTTCCCTATCGATTTTATCAATTCCTGTTACTATTTTGTATGTAGTGATCATATCACCTCTTTTTCTTCTGTCTTCTAGTTTTGGCATATTTAATACCTCTAACCTCTCCTCGTAGCTCTTGCCCTTCAGTTCTGGGAGCCACTTAGTAGCGTGTCTTTGCACCTTTTCCAGTTTGTTGATGTGCTTCTTAAGATATGGGCACCACACAACTGCTGCATATTCTAGCTTTGGCCTAACAAAAGTCGTGAACAATTTCTTTAGTATATCGCCATCCATGTATTTAAAAGCAATTCTGAAGTTAGAAAGCGTGGCATATGCTCCTCGTACAATATTCTTTATGTGGTCCTCAGGTGATAGTTTTCTATCTAGAACCACCCCTAGATCTCTTTCTTTATCAGAATTCTTTAAAGATTTCTCACATAATATATAGGTTGTGTGGGGTCTATGTTCTCCTATTCCACATTCTATAACATGGCCTTTATTAACATTAAATTCCATTTGCCAAGTGGTGCTCCATATACTTATTTTGTCCAGGTCATCTTGAAGGGCATGACAATCATCCAAGTTTCTTATCCTTCCTATTATTTTAGCATCATCAGCAAACATGTTCATATAATTCTATAATTCTGTATACCAACTGGTAGATCATTTATGTAAACAATAAACATCACTGGTGCAAGAATTGAACCCTGTGGTACTCCACTTGTGACATTTCTCCAGTCCGATACATTGCCTCTGATCACTGCCCTCATTTTTTTATCAGTCAGAAAATTTTTCATCCATGTTAGAAGCTTACCTGTCACCCCTCCAATATTTTCCAGTTTCCAGAACAACCTCTTATATGGAACTCTGTCAAAAGCCTTGTGGCAAACCTGCTGCATGACCCGGATTATGCCTTGGCAATGGATCCCTCAGCTTTCAGGTTTGGGACTTCGTTCCCTTTCTGGCTCTGTTACAAGGTTCCGGAGTCATTTTGGCTGGCGGACAGTCCTGTTTTTACCTTGAAGGCCTGGCACTCCTGCCATTCCCGCATGCTTGAATGGCGGGAGGCTTCGACGGTGCTGCAGGTTTTCCTGGGGAGCGACCTAGAGCA